ATATGTTATGTTTATATATTAAATATATTTATATATAATATAAAATATAGGAATATTAATATATAAATGTATAAACATGTAAATATTTTGTGTATTTATATACGTAATAAATATACACAGTACACAAACATATATAATGTAAACTAAAACTTTTATTTTGGATGTGATTAATCGCGATTAATCATTTGACAGCACTAATATATATACATTTTTATATTTTATATTATGTAATGGCTGATACTCATACTTGTGCTGCTTAAAATTTGAGTGGAAACCTAATGATACTTTGATGAATAGAAACTTCAACAAAACAGCATTTATTAGAAAAGGAAATCTTTTGTAACGTTATAAATGTCTTTACTGTCATTTTGTATTAATATACTGTGCCATCTCTTACTGACCCCAAACATTTCAATGGTAGTGTAGAGGAAAAAATTGGTCCATGCATATTAATCTTTGCATATAAAAGTTTTTGGAGCTATTTTCTTTTCTGCCTTCTTGATGTGCTGCCTGCGCAATGTTGCTGATAGATGCCACACCAAAGTGCTGTGACCATGTGAATTGTCCTCAGAGATGTGACTGTGAAGATGCCTGTTTATTTAGATCTATTCCTGGCACATCAGAATAAGAGGGAAAGAGGAAGGAAGGGATAGAAGCCTGCTGTTTGAGGAGAATATTTTGGACTGAGAAAGACCAGGTTTACAGACAGAAGACAAATGAAAGAGGCTGAAATCCAATTAGAAGACAAGATCTGGTCTGTCTCTGCATCTCCACCCTTCCTCTGAAGCATATTTGGTCTCTCTCCCCCTCTCTCATTCAATCACCCTCTCATTGAATGAAAGGTATTTGCAGTGATTTAAATCAATTAAAGAGACATAATGCAGCATCTGCCTCAAAACGTGTGGGAACAACAGTGTTTGTTTTTGTGTGAGGAAGGGAGATAAAGAAAGACAAGAAAAAAGAGTGATGAAGCATATAGCTGGTAAATGGTATGGTAAAATGGAATTGGTTCTGAATAAGAACTCTATTCCCAACCCTACTTTGACTATTCTCAAACTGTTCAGTTATTCCCTATGTAATTCAAGTTTTTATTTTCCATAGACTCAAATTAGTGTTATTCTCTTTATTATGCTCTGCTGAATAAAAAGAAATCACATCCCAACATTGATATGTGTGCATGTACAGTATGTGTATACAAGATCATTTGCAAGTTTGTGTGTGTGTGTGTGTGTGTATGTGTGCATATTCTATACTTGGCAGTGGAATCCTACCTTTTCCCAGGAAGTACTTGAAGTACCATCTGGTGTGATACTCTGGGTTCTCCAAATGGACGTCAGTTCGCCTCCATGTTCCAGGCATGTAGTCAGAGGCCTACAAAAATGTCCCCCAAGAATTTAACCAAGATCAATCAGATTTTTTTTTATATACAGTATATAGAAATATTTATGTTTAATATATATAAATATACTTTTATATTTAATATATAAAATCTCTATGTTAGTCAGCTAGATAATATTATCTTGGAGACAAACCAACAAAAATTGCAACAAACAATAGGGTGAGAATGCATCATCTTTTTCCTGGACATGTTCTGGCCAGGATTTCTATGTTGCTTAAAATGTCTTTGTTATCCTATTGACATGCTCCGTAGGGTTCCCATACATTATATGTAGGCGTATTTGTGCATTGTTTGATCATTCTCTGTAGGTCTCGCATGCCATGATTGGTCAATTGCGCAAACTGAAATTGCGAATTGAAAACATGCCCAATGGAAACACATCAATTTCGCAAAAACTCCCATATATTGCAAAATATATTTACACTCATATGAGGTGGTTTTTCAGGCAATTTGAAAAAGGACTATTTCACAAAACTGCAATGGAAAACAGTTTTTTTGCATTTACAGGTCACCTGGCGTATACGTAAAACTCAAATGATCATTCTTTAATGTACTATAACCTGAAGAAACACCTCTCAAGTATAAGGGGCTTTCCTTGCCATTACTGCTTGGATAACCCCTTATTTATACTGCACACGTCTGTGGCACATTACGGCTCCAACACGGCCACCGGATTTGATCGCGGCCACTCTAATTAAAGGGGTCCTATTATGCTCTTTTACAATGTCTTGAATTTGTTTTGGGGGTGTACTAGAACATGCTCTCATACTTGGTGGTTCAAAAAATGCATTATTTTTTACATAATTTACATTATTACAATACCTTTCTCCCCATCCTGGCACAAACGGCTCGATTAGTTCCGGGTTTGATGAAGGCCCGCCTTCCAAAAAACGAAATGTGATGTGATTGGTTAGCTGTCCCAGTGCGTTGTGATTGGCGAACAGCTTAGATGGCGTTTCAGTACTGCCCCGCCCCTTGCCAAAGCAGCAAGTTCCATCTGCTCTGTTTAATTAAGGATGGCGTCAATATTGCCATATCAATTTGAGCCGGATTCAGACCCAGAGAATATTGAACAAGAGGATCGCGCAGAACCTTTGCACGCATGGATATTGCAAGACATATTAGAGTGGTAACGTAATTTTATTTTAATTTTTTTGGCTAAATCACGTTTTAGATAGGATGTCAACCACCGCTTAAAAATAATTGCATTTACTATGTACAGATAAGTGCATATGTATTATTTTTATTGTTATTTAATTCTAACATTATAACATGAATTGCAGTGAAACTGTTATACAGTTGAATTTATTTATACCATAGTCCAGTGTTTCCCA